GCGAACGCTGTCGACGCCGGGTCAGAATCAAAAACATCATTCCTTGGGACAGACTGAGACGGCACGGTATCCATCACAAAGGAAACGGGGGGAAAAAAGAAAGAAATTGGAGCGAAGCACGCCCAAGCAGCGTAAGTGCAAAGGTTGCATACCTGCACAGACATAATGAATGAAGAATATACAACTGTGTCATTTGGAAAGACATAGCAGACAAAAAACAGACTTATTATTGAGTCGGGCGTCGGCAGTACCACGACATCAAACAGGCCTACTGTGAAAGTAACAGTGTCATGAATGCACCAAGCATGCAGGGCGCAATCGGTTCAAAAATCTAACAAATATACTTACCGAGGTAGCCACCGGCCATTTTAACACAAGCGGATCCGCTCCCACCGGACTACTCAACTTTAACTTCTGAGCCATGGTGCCAACAATCTTCACACACGGCCATGAAATGGTCAAATTCTGAAATAAATTTTCACAACTTGACCATTTCTACTCTCACTCCGTGACCCACATTTGGCGTCAGAAATCTCGCGGAAACTCGCTTCGGTCTCGGTCATATGCCCGAAATTCCTCCGACGATTGGTTCTTTCATGAACCGGAAACTGATTTTTCGAGCACGCGGAGTTTGCCTTTTGAATTATCTAGAGTTTATACATTTTTCCAGTTGCAGTTTTTCTGAATCTCTTTATCTTAAAACTTTTGTTTTACACAATGCAAATTCTATATATTACATAGATTCATAGCAATAGATGAACTCAAAACAAAAACATCACGTTCAAGGTCTGGTTGTACTAGAAATGTATCATCCTAGATCACCGTTTTACACTTAACTGAAGAGTAAAAGAGTTCAATATCATTTCCTTTTTATTGTTTAGATTGATGTAGCTGTATGTGTAGGCAGCAAACGTGAGAGTATTAGGATCTATTAATTGCTTGCTTTATTTTGATCTTACTTTCTGTTCTTTTGTTTACATTTACCTGGCAAAGTGGCAGATAACGGAAGTCGGAAGTAGTAAGCCACGAAAATGGCGGCTGTTTACAAAGTTGCGAAGCAAGGCGATTTCTAAATATTTTTTTAACGAAGAATGTTGCATTGCCGGGGACTTCGTTCTAATTCAACTTCCTAGAGTCCGCTTAACATTGTGAAAATGGTATGCTATTAGTATACTCTTTACCTGTTTATAGATCTAGATCTATATCTCTAGCCGTTGCCAGTGTATCAGTGTAGTACCCGTACACCACTGGTCCACTGACTTACTGTTGTTGTTGGTTGGCAAGTAATGACAGTGGTGGTCAAAACGTCACACTTCCCAATTTCCAGGTGCCGTCTTGTATAGGCCTAACGCTCTGTTTATGGCATACTTCAGTCTTACAAATCCTGAGACACCAGTGCTTACTGCTAGGAATTAAGACAACTGTCTGACTACGAATCAATAACAAACGATTATGATTAACATCCTTGACCCTTTGCCTTTTGTTTCCACCCTTAGCCCCACCCATTGCATCGATGTAATGAAATGAACTGAAATTGAATCAGCCAAATGCCAACCGTTCCCTGTGATGGGAGGAATTCCATAACTGGCGACCACTATGAAACAGAGTAAAATAGAGGGTTAGTGTTTGGGGTAGGGTTAGGATGTGGAGAAGGGGTTTGGGTAAGGTAGGGTTAGGGATAGATCGGCGCTTTTTCGGTGTTCCCACCCCCCTTATTTGATAGAGCCTGACCTACATCTAGATCTATATACGTTTGATTCGCGGCAAGCTAAGATGTCAAACCTAACAACTGCAAAACATTAAATTGTGGTAAAATTCAGGGGGGCATGCCCCCCTGAAACCCCCCACCTTGTTTTTATTAGGTCAGGGGGGCAAGCCCCCCTGAAAACCCCTTACTCTTGGGGCCAAAACCGGCGAATAACAAATGCGGGGTGGGAACTACCGAAAAAGCGCCGATAGATCTAGGTCTCTTTTTTATTGTGTTTGTTGGGGTGGTCGCTCGTGACGGAAGTCCTTCCCCTGCGTGTAACAGCAATTCAGTGAACTTTTCTCTCTGCTGGCCATATATATAATATAATCAGGACTGCAGGCAGTGGTCATATTTCACACCTCTGGCTAGCTGGGAAAGTTTCCGTGTCAGCATGCCACTTGAACATTTTGAAGACAAGCAGCGATTTTACAACCTCACCACCCTGACCATTTGCACCACTCAGGCTCCCATGGGTAGGGTAACAGCTACCCCTAAATATAGACAGCACCACATTCCCCCTTCCTCTCCTGGCAATGTGACACATATTTTGGTTAGAGCTTGTGGAATCAAACTAAGTTGGGAGTTTTGTTTCGATTCAGGACTGTTCGGGCAAAGCAATTTAATCTTTTGATGGGTTAAAATCCTCTAAAAGGAAGGAATTTAAATTCTCTCCATTTCCATTTCGTGAAGGTTTCCACCTCAGACAAATGTATTAAATTAGGCCCATAGGAAAATTTATAAAAAGGGAAAAGAGTGGGGAGGGGCAGGGGGGTGGCCATGAAATAATGAAATGTTACAGGAGAAAGTACTCTTTGATAAACAGGACAAACCCTAGTTCCCGGAATAAGGATCTTAGACTATTCAGAATATTTGGGAATATAATCCCCGGTCTCGTATGTGTATTGAAAAAACTAAAAACACAACGGCATACATCCATCAAATGCAACTCACTCCAAATTCTGCCTAAATCATTCTTTCAATATATATTTAAAATGATGAGCTGATGCAAAGCTAAAATAACAACACATCAGCAAAAAAATTTGAGAGTGGAAACAAGTTTGGAGAGGGGCTATCTCCAACACAGGGTAGATTATATTATTTATTATTTATGCTCATTACTGTGATTACAGTTTAGAATGGTGCCTGTTAAGGTTTTTACCATTAATTAGGCTCCCGTTCTTTCCGAATCAACAGGACTTTACCTAGTGAGATCTACACTAAAGAAGGAGACAGATTGTTACTGTATTGCCGGAAGCGTTGTCGATTTAAGATAGCTGACCTTTCCCAAGCTGTAGTTGTCCAATCTTCAGCCTCGAAAAAATTCTTGAAACTCCTGAAATCAGTCCTTTTTTTTTCAATGTTTGTAATATAATCTACTCATTACTCAAATTTATGCTTTTGATTTTATTTCTTAGTTCATATGCACTCTTGCTCTTTTGCTTACACTGCACTTAGCTACAAATAAGTAACATCTATACCATTTTGTGGCGTCGGTGGCCTAGTGGTTAGGCTACCGTACTCGTAATCTTGAGGTTGCAGGTTCGGCGGTTCGACAGCGGGCCCGACATTGTGTCCTTGGGAAAGGCACTTTACACACACTTTCCTCACTTCACCCAGGTGGGAATAGGTACCCGGCCATAGACAACGAAAGATCTTGTCAGTATGTTAGGGTTTTAGCGTCTATAAATGGCCGTTTGCACTGTATGCTTCCCAGGAAGTTGAGGTTGTTTCAGTATGCTCTCAGGTCTGCTGGGGTAATAGTATAAATTGTAAAGCTCATAGAGCTTGCTGTTGAGCGGGGATTTGCGCTGTGTAAATGCTATCTATTATTATTATTGTCAAAATCTTGAAAAAATGTAAAAAGAAACACAGCTTATTTTTTCTTCTTAGCTCATTATGTCCTTTGTTGTTGTTTTTTCATCTTGCCCTTTGAGATGGGATTATGAATTTACATGTTTGTATCGTTGTTATTACTATCAGAGACGGAGTCATGCTCCCAGTCAGAGGGGAGTTGTCGTGGAGAAGAGAAAACCTGACGAGAACGATGAGTGGCGGCCGAAAAAAGAGGTAACTTGTTAGGCCATTTGATTTATTCTGTCAGAAAAGATGTTATACTCTTGTGTATATAATTGAGAAATAAATGATAACACAGACAGGTCAAAACAGAAGGGGTTTATTCGTTTTAGTTTGGGGTTTTATGGCGCTCGCAACTGCATTATAAGGTCATATGAGCGCACGACGGACGGGTTTAATGAACTTTTAATTAATTAGTTGAGCATTGTTGTACAACTCTTCAGCCGAATTTTTAGACTGCTGGACATTTGTAATGATCCGTGTTCGCATTACAATGAATTACACGTTATAAATTACAACTATGTACCAAGAATATATACCGTTGAAACTGTCTTAGACGGCCGCCCTTTGTTTAGGGAAAAAGTGACCAGTTTAGATAGGTGCATGCCCTACACAGTGTCACTATAATGGACAAAAGGCAAGGGGAAAAAATGGGAAATGGCCATTTGCACAAGGAATTGTCTTATACTGACGGTCATGAGACAGAGCAGTAGGCTTCGGTCGCCTTCCGGGCAAAATTCCAAATTTCCTACCAACTGAAAAATTTTAATATATCCCGTGTGCTCATATGACCTTATGGAGTTGTGAGCGCTGTATAACACTTGCCCCCAAAAAAATAATAATTTTAGTATGTAAGAAACTCTGATAATGGTTGTATTTAGTTACTGTAAAAGTTTTTGGCGTTCTCCCACCCACCCTCACCAATGGATCAATAACATTTGTGTCACGACGCAGTGGAATCAGGCACTCGTCAATTTTAGGGCATATGGAGTAGTTTGTATAATCTTAAAGCCGGTTTATTTATCTTGCTTTCAATGTAAAAAAAAACAAAAAAACATTTATCTTGAATAGAAGTCAAGATATTTGTGATTGAAGGGAGTAAGGGTTGACTGGTTTCAGGGGTCAAATGAACGAAAAAATGGCCGCCAAAGTTTGGTGATTTTAAAAGTTTGAGAGTCATTGGTAACTGAAATTTACCTTTTTGGGTCCTCTAATTAACGTTTTTCCGTGAAATCCGCACTTAAATGTGTTTTTGAAATGTTTTAAAAGGCGTTGAGCCAAAAATTAAAAAATTGATGAAAATTACTGAACCGTCGGGAAAATGCTGTTTTCTTTGATTTCATTATTTTGACGAGCCCCTGATTTCACCATGATGCCTCGCGTTTGGTCGTCAGCTTCTAACAAGTGAGAAACACTGACGATGATTATATATTAATATATTTAGTGTAAAAGTTTTTGGCATTTCCATCCCCACCCCCA